TATTTATTTATTTCTTATTATTTAATTATTTTTAAGAAATAAAAAGAAGTGAAGTGGAGAGAGAAATGGGCGAAAAGTATCCCTATATATAACTGAAAAAAATTTATATTTATTATTAATTATATTCATAATAAACTTATTACGGTAACCAAATTTGTAAATGATTACTCAGTATATGTTGATTATTCGGTACTTTATTGTATAAAGCGGAACACCCCAAACAAGAAAGTTAATTGACGTGGGAAAACTGTAACATAATGGAATGGTATCACAACAGAGATCACATTATATGCATTTGGGGACAAAATATTTTGGGGATTGGGGCTTTTTTTTTGTGTTTCTTATTTAGACCGAGATGTTGTCAAAATTCTTACACATATTTTAAAGTTTAGAACAATATGTAAAAAATTGATGTATTAATACTAGTAGAATTTCTGTGTCACTATTCATTTCGGGGTTCTTGTTTTTTTTCTTGTTTTTCAAAAGAAAAAGGTTTATTATGTGGCTTATATCCGTGATATCCGCAAATTGATTTTTTTTTTCTTTTTTTCCCTTATTCTGTTATGGAAATAAAGTTCTCGTGCCATAATTATGAAATATTTGAAATATTTCAAAAAAAAACGTAATCTTTCTAAAAATGATTCTTTTTCCCACACACCGTCAAAAAGGGATTTACTTTTTATTTTCTCACACTGTAATAAAAAAAAAGGATATTATTTTTGTCGCACAAAATTAAAAATAATTTTTTTTTTTTTCCGTGAGAATATTCTAATTCCTAGATATTAATACCATAATAAGCTTAGATTAACTTTTTAAAGTAATCTTATCAGATTCTTTTATCCAATCGGACTCTCTAAAATGATCATTAACCTGAAAGCAAATCGTTCATTCATCAATTTTTTGTCAAATGAATCTGATGAATGGTAAACAAAAAAAAAAAAAATTCATATTGTCAAAACAGAGTATTTTTTTTTTTTTTTTTTTTTTGTGGTTTTACCAAAATCTTCCCATGACTTAATAGTGATGAGAAAAAAACATCCGTAATTAAAAATAAAATGGATAGATCGTTCCTTCAAAAAAAAAAAAATAAATAAAAAAAAAATAAAATAAAAAGTATTACAACACAAGAATGACACATAATAGATCATTAAAAATGATTAAGATGTATCAGACGGCAAGTTCCACATTCGAACGTTTGATTGGTAAATTTCGAACAACAATACTATGTCAAACATATATTGATGAAATATGTTAGAATTTTCATGCAAGAAAATCAGCCATAATCAAGATCATCTGATTGCATAATTTTCAAAAAAGGTTCCTCTTTTATTATTGTTTGGAAAAAAAAACGCCTTTCATTTATTAATGATTCATTTTTATGTGATTCATATTGGATTATGTATTATCTAAAGTTGTCTTGATCATCTTATCTCAAATAAACAAATCTTTACATAATTACATCAGATCATGTAGGGGCTGATTTCTTTAATAATATTGGAAAATAAACCTTTTTTAGTAAATATAAATTGTGGGGGGGAAAGTCAAAAATAAAATCATTTTTGGCGTTTCATCAATCCGAAATGTCGGTACCTGCTTGTGAATGTATTATTAATTAATTATTAAATTATTTAATTATTAATAGAACGCCATTTATAACATTAATAATGTCAGTACATCCGCAGTATGAAAGCATAATTATGGTTCGATCGATCTTTCTATCTTTTTCTTTCTTTTTCTTTTATTTTTTTTTTTAAAAAAAAGTAAATACAATGCAGCACAAAACAACAAAGACTTTGATTTGTTATTTACCCACATTTACATCACTAACGCATCTCTTTCTATCTCTTTCTTTAATTTTCCTTTTTTCTTTTTTTTTTTAAAAAAAAAACCAAATAAAAACTTGATCTGTTATTTACCAACATTACATCACCAAAAATGGTTAGGAATAAATGGTTCATTACTGAAAAAGACATAAAAAATTGTGGGGTGAGAATTTTTTTTTTTTACATGCATAGATTAAAGTTAAGTACGACCCTCAGGAATTAAGATCAAATGACATACACTTTGATGCAGAAAAAATGAAAATGGGAGAGTCACTTGAGTTACGCAATTAAGTCATCAAACATTCGAAAGCCATGTTTAATTTTGATCGGGTTTTACTGATTTTCGAGACGAATATTCATGAATTATATCATATTCCAAACATAATGGGGTTTACTACCTTTTGACATGATTGTTTTTCCTAAAGTGATATTTGACTTTAATATTGTATGAAAAGCAACAGGTACATACTTTCTATATTCAGATGATACAAATTTTTTATTCATTTATTAAATAAAAGATAGAATGGTTGATGAAACAGTTAATATATTAAAATACGATTTTATTTCATGGCAATTATTTCTAAAATAAATTGTAAAATGTTTATATATTTGAAAAAGGATGTTCGGAAAATGTCACCGAAAATGTCCGGTCATGAGGACATGTGAAGGCAAAGGCCTTGTATAAGAATGAGTGAAGTGATTTTAGATAGCTTTTGACATTTTCTAATATACAGTTCAGGTGTGATTAGCCAAGCGAGTGAAAAATCATATTCTATGGACTTTAACTATAGAAGGCTTTGGACAAAGATTCAAGCAAATACCAATCATTGCGTAATGGCGTGAGAGAACGTGCGCGGAAAAGCCGGAAAGGAAGAAGGTCAAATCGGGCAAAATCCGCAGTCGTATCGTCATCGTGTATAGCATAGCGAACTTTTTTCGCATGGTACTCAATGAGATTTATTAATAAAATCTCTCCTAACAACCTGTGTAAATGGATTAGTGTCAAATTTTATTATAGTGATTTAAGGAGTCGTTGATCAGATTTTTCGATTATTCATATTAATATAATTCACCACTTATTGATTCCAATTAGGCCCACCGCTCGTTATATTAAAAGATGAGGCCCTGGTTAGTGAATCATTTTATTTGCCTTGGTGTAAGTAAAATATAAATCGAACGAGAATAATCAAACTTACCATTACTTGCATCATCAATATCATTCATAATCAAACGAACGAGTATATTCCTCCAAAGCATAAAGAAGAAGTATGCTGGTAATACTTCAGCTTGATTCTAGAAAACGTCATCACGATGCTAATCAAAATTTTTTTCGGATTATAGATGTTCAAAGAGGATATTACCATTCATGATCCCTCCAGGAAAATCGTGATCGCGTGACTATGCACATGATATTTTTTTTATCTATCGTTCCTGTGCACTAACTCACATTTTCGAAAAAATTCATGCGTCAACGCCTTTCGGAAAGCAATGCAAGAATCAATCAAAAGGGAGTTACGTTCTTAAATTCCATGATAAAAGCATAGCGTTAGAGGCGTAAATGAAATGAGATTCATTAACCTTAAAATTACAAGTTGATATAACATTTCTTATCGAAAGTTTGTGATTTAAATATATTAAATAATAGTTCACATAAAAATACAAGCTACATAATAAACAATAATCGCCAAGTCAATAATCAAAAACAAAGTTAGCCAAAATTCCAACCTATTTTTGATTGGCATATTTGAATTATCTCGAGATTATAGCAAAAAATAAAATTCTCTTTTTTTTTTGTATAAAATCTTTCAGGTTATAATTTAAAAATTTTGGTTTAACATTTCTGAAGTAAATTATGTTTTCATAATACCAATAATATGAATTTTATTTTTTTTTTTTTTGGCTTTTGGCAATTTTTGGTCCAAGTTATTCAGCAGTTCAAACTTAATTGAATAGGTATTCAAACACGCGATATAATGTAGTTATTTTTTATTGATACGAAAATTTGGATTTGGCAAAACGTCTAAACTTTAGTTTCGCTAATTTTTTAATTAAGGTTTTGATATTGTTTCGCAATTTTATAAAGTTTTACTTATTCCTAATTTCGCAGGTTTTTTAATAAGGATTTAATATAATTTTGCTAAATTTTACCTTTTTACCATTTAGATGACTTGCAAAACCTCTAGGTTTCGTCAAGCAACCTTATTCGGGATACATGATTCGTCATCAACCCTGGCAAGAATTTTCCCGATATCGTACTGCGCACTTGACCTATAGGTTATATGGTCAAGAGTTGCAGAGGGATCGTTTCACGCCTCCACTGTTATTGGAAAATAGACTGGTTTAGATCAGAGTTCTCAGAATACACTTTTAATACCTTATCAAGTGGGATTCCGGGCTCTATAAAACCACTATTCGCCATCCAAATATCAATGATCTTTTTGCATAAAGGGCAGGTTCGCGAATCATAATTTACAGATCTCAATTAAAACATTACTTGAGTTTTCGTTTAAAAACCGATGAAAAAATTTTACCTTGGACAGCAGTATTCAATGATTGGAAAAAAATCCCTCTCTTATTTCAAAAGATAGTACCAAGAAAAGTACCCGGATGTGTCTCTAGTTTTCTGCAATGATTCTGTAGCTAATTAAAGGAAGTAACCGCAAGTAATTCTAGGATGGGTAAAGTGAGTTAGTAAAGACGATATAAAATATATTTTGATGCTATAGTATAGTTTTGAAATGATTTACAAGTGGTCGAATCCTTAGGCTAGCCGAAGAATCAACAACACGATGAATTTAGACGACAATTGGTGATTGGACATAAAGTCCCGTGGTATGATAAAGTTGGAGCGCGATGGAATAATTATAATAAATTACATGATTTATTAATTTCCGTCGCCATCTACGCAATTATTACAATTTTCATTAGTCTAGCAAGTGCTACTCTACTTTTACGGCCAAAATTTTCGCTCTGATTATAAATTATGTATACTACTTAGTCAAGTTCATAATTCTGATAAGAATAATTAGAAACCGACGAAAAACTTGTCAGTGTTAATATAATTTATGTCACATGATAAATGACGAAATTTATAGATAATATAATAAGTTAATTTAGTTAATTGAAATTTATCCGAATATAATATAGCTTTATTTGTAAAATATATAATATAATAATTTAAAATTCTAATGAAAAATAATCATTATTTATTCTTTTATAAAATTTAATAAGATTCGAATGTTTTTGCACCAACTCTGTAAGTTCTTTAGTTTTGATAGCCAACATTACATGAGTATATGAAAAAATAATTGCATCAATAAAGGTAGGCAAACTAAAAGCAAAATAAAAGAATGATTAAAACCTAAGGATTTATTTAAAACATTTTAACTCATTCCTTTTTAAATACCTTCCAAAAAAGAAATCTTTATCTCCCAAAGCAACTGAAATTGATTGTAATGCTTCAGCTGCTTCTTGATATATCTATTAAAATAGATAACGAAACTATTAGCATATTCTCCAAGGGAAAGATTTTAGTTAAAGAAATACGATTACTGACTTCTTCACCATTTAACACTGGCTTTCTTGTTAATAATTCCTTGATTGCTAGATTTTTATACTGATGAAACAGTATCTTATCTAATGGATTCGAATAATGACTAACATATATTTTATGTGCTATAAAATTATTTGCGGGTTCACACCAAAGGTTATAAAGCTAAATAAAAAAAATAAAATTAACAAATTAAATTAAATATAATGCAAAAAAAACGTAGCAAATATAAAAACTTGTTCTCAGAATTGTAACCAGTCGAGCATTAAATCAACTTAATTCGGGACGCGCAAGCTATTAAAAGTATGATCATTAACCTTAATATTTAGACCTCGAAATTTATAAGGTCGAGATGAGAACAAATATTTTCATAATTGCCATTATTATTATTATTATTATATTAAAAAACTATTTACCAAGGCATTTCGTAACTTTGTATCTGCCAATGCAATATACGCTTGTGAATCTGCTTGTTGTTCATTACTTAAACTTCCAAAATTTGCAGAATACTATACTTGAAATAAATTTCAATACAAATAATTATCAAATCAATCATCAATACATTGATATTAATTACTAACCCTATCAGATATATATCTCTCTATGGCATCATTCACAAGATTCTCACCAGTGGTTAATACTAAGAATGGAAGTTTTCCTATACATTTTATGCAATTATATGTAATTAGAGTAAGTAATAAATAAATTAAAAGCTAATTATAAGAATTAAAGAATTAAAAATACCCGAGGGAGACATTAACGGTTCATTAGAAGTCTCGTTTTCGAAATCATATTTACTAAATTTCAAATAAACCTAAAATAATAATAAAATTAGTTCTAATAAACGGAATTACTCAATCCAAATAAATATTTTCAGAGACAGTAATATGTTCAATGTTTACCTGCCACTTTACACATTCCTGGTCTAAAGAAGTTTTCGTTGATCCCCATATATATAACTTTGAGCAATCAAGTTCTCGTGGTCTATGTAGAGTTCGGTACGTTTTCAATGGAAATTTGTTAAGAAATTGACGAATACTTTGTTGTATCGGGTTGTTGTTTATTGTATTTCGCCAAGTTGGGTCAGACATTGTGAAAGAACAAAAGATTGCGAAATCAAGTGAAATTCATTTCATCCGTAACGCTGATTATTTTACCAAAGATGGAAATTGAATCGGTAGGCAAATCCTTACTTTTTACGTTATTTTTTTTTTTTTTTTTTAGATGTCTATTTGATGTGGTGGATTATTAAAAAGACTATATATATAATAAAGAAATTTGTTTTTTGATATATTAATTAAAAGAACAATTATTGCATTTGCTCATTCATTAGTTATGGACTTATTAATTTTAATGTTCACTTTATCATACTGAAATGTGATGAATATAAACCATAATGTGAGTAATATAGGCCTACCCCTATATAAAAATAAAATATATGAAACTTATTTACATTAAATCCACCATGGAACCCAAGAATTACAGCACTATTCGAAGCATTTTAAAAAAAGAGCAAGGAGAAAAAATTGCTCCATACATTTTTAAAATCAATGATATCCAAACTCTTCAGCAATATCTAGATCAAGAAAAAATCACTAATGAAATTTATCAAGAAGAACGAAAAATAATAACTAATAAACGAACGTTAACGCCAACACATTATGAACCAAGAAAGAAAAGAAGACTGGCAGAATAAACAATTAAATCATTATTAGAACACTTTTTTTGTGTTTTCAGCAACTTTATCTATCATTCATCTTCGTCCCCATCAAATTCATCTCCTTCCAGGTCAGCTGGTTTGTTTCATCAAGCAATTACTTGTTTTCAACGAATAACTAATCAAGTAATACCTCCGATTAATAAGGCTATTCCTAAAACAGTAAAGATTGCTCCTGAATTACTTTATCTTCAGAAAGGTGGTTCATGGATACTATCTTTAAAAGGCTGTTAATACTTCTTAGTAGCATGATCTTGACCTCCTAACTCTTCTGCATAGAACTTAACTATTCCTTCTTCACTAAACTCTTGATCATCTCTATAAACAGTTTGATCTAACAAGATTAAATTATCTTTGCCATCTTTATAATCTTTCATCTTTTGCAGGATTCCAGCTTTAAGATTACTATCCACTTTTATTTCATGTAAAGCAATGGTTCCCACTACTACTTCCAGATCCTGAGTAAAGAATCAATCTAATCAAGTTTGCTGAACATTATCGTCATTAGGAACATCTGTAATACCAGGTTTTTTAGCAAGAGTTTCTTTGCAGTATTTAACCAATCCAGCTTTATTAATCTTACTACTTGGAGCATTAACTCTATCAGTGATTGCTTTAATCTTGGCTTCAAACTTGCTAGAATTCTCTTTAAATTCATCAGCAATAGGATAATCTTCTTATTTATTGACTAAGTCCCTAAAAACGTTAGTTTTTACTCCTAAGACTCCTTTAAGTCTACTGCAAGTAAGTAATATTTTAGGTTGCTTTTGCTTTTCACTTAAATATTTTTTAATTTCTCTTAATTCATTGTCTTCAACAGGATCAAGTACTCGTTTAGATTGTACTGATTCTAAAGCATCGACAATGATCTTGAGATAGTCTTTGGTGGCTATTTCATTGTGATATTTGCCATCACTATTTTTTCAATTATCTAACCGGTTAATAAAATCACTACCTAAACCCATTCATTTATTATAACCACCTAGTTCGCCTTGAATTTGGTTATCAAAATCCCGTAATTCATGACGATAATTAGTAATATCAAAAACAATAGCAGGATCTAATAAATCTTTTCATTTTTCAATTAAACCCAAAATGCTACGTAAAAATAAATTTTCTTTATAAGTCTAATTAGTTTTAGCACGAAGAAAATTAAACTGAGTTATTAAACCATTTACACAGTTTTTTTTAGCATTTTCTTTTGATTTTTTTGCTGCTTTTAATTCCTGACTAGTTTTTAACTCTTGAGAACTAATTGAAGAACGCTCTGTTAACAATTTACCTAATCCAGCCTGCACAGAAGCAATATTATCTATTCTTGCTTGAGCATTGACTTTAAGTTTATCATAACCCTTTATTATATCGTCAGTAATAGAAACTTCTGAATATTTAACAAGGTTCACTAACACTAATCACTAACCTTTTTTGCTCTTGTTCTCAGCCAACAATGTATCATAATTTGTTCCTTTTGCTGCTTCAATTAAAGGAAATCAGGTTTTTATCGCTGCTTGTGTCATACTCAAAATAACTGGTTCTCATTCAAACCTATATTCTTCAAAATCACTAATATCATTTTGAATTAATTCAATAGCATAGTCTAAATAGTGCTTTGCCATTATGTCAACTGTATGATGGCATTTCTGATAATGAATCAACTTATCTCTTTCAAAAACAGAAATACTATCTTTCCAGAAATTCAGTTAGTACAAGGTTTTCATTTTTATCTAAAGCTTTATCACGTGCCGTAAATTGAACTCAATCTGGATCGTTATAGACCTGCCAAAAAAACTTTGGTAGTTCTCCTTTTTCTCAACTTAAACTGATTTTTTTAGAATGAAGAGGAATTTCAAATATATTAACAATAGGATAATTACTATTTTTAATACTAGAATCTGCATCCATCCAAAGAACATTATAACTTTAGTCTAAACTTTTATTATTTTTAAAAGGTAAACAATCAGTGCCACCAACTTGAAGGTACTTGCTAGTAGAAAAATCAGTTTCTTAAGGAAAAAAAAAATTCATAAAATAAAGAACATTATTAACAAACACATAATCATCTGTTTTTTCCTAAAATCAGTCTTATTAAAAATCAGTTGTTTTTTTTCAAATCTATTTCTTACTGCTCTTCCTTTTTCTGAATTTACTATTAGAAAACTTCAATTTCTTCTAAAAGTTCAACTAAACATCCTTCCAAAGGTTCTTTTAAGCCTTTCTGCTTTACCAAGAAAAGAAAAATTTCTTTCAATAATCTTAAAAAGTTTTTCTTTATCAAAATCTTTGAAAATTTTGATAAATTGTTGAGGTAAGTCACAACCCAAATATAATGAATGAGTAAAAGGTTTACCATTACTATTATAACTAGTTTCTATTATGCAATTAGGACGATCTGATCTAAAGACAGTGTTAGCAGTCACCTTTGTTAAAGCAATTATTTCATCTAAAATTTTTTGACCTGTTGGCATTACTACAGCTGTGTTTCCATAATTAAGATCTCTTTTAAGTTTATCAATTACAAGTTGCACTTCATTTTTATAATTCTCTGCTTTTAATTCAAATTCAGAGTTAAGAATTTTATTGTTTTTAATTTCAAATTCAGAAATTTCTTTATCTTTCTTTTCTTTATTAACTAAAATTGCATCTAATTTATCTTGCTTGACTTTAATTTCAGCTTCAAATTCAGAATCAGATTCACTAAATAAAATATCTTTAAATTGAGTGATAACCTTGTCAATGGGTTTATTGTCATTTAGATTATTAACAACTTGATAAGGAATAAAATTGCTTTTTTGCTCTTTTATAATTGCAACTAATAAAGTATGTCTTGCTGAACTTAAACCCATCTTTTCAACTTTTACTTTTTCTTTACCTTCTCTTCAATTGTTTAATAACTGAGCAGTATCTTGAAGAAGTGTTTTATCCAAAGTGCCATTTAGTTTTAAAAGATTACTATCAAAGATAGCCTTTTTTTCAGGTTTAAGGACTCTTCCATAATAATTGGAGTATTCTTTTGCTTCATCTGTTGTATTTATATCATTTTTATTGAATATCATGATTTTAATTCCTTTTTTTTTTTTAATATTAATATAATTAAATATAAAAAATTTAACAGAAATAAACAAAAACTAATAAAGTAATAAAATTGTGATTGACTGAAATATTTTTATTCATTATCTGTATAGATTAGTTTGAGATAAGTAATATCCTTGAATTTATCTCTAATGAATGGGCAAATATTATGATAAAGATATTCTTGTCTTTTGTAATCCAAAGGAGACGGAGTTAGAACTAAAATAGAAAAAGATTTAATTTCTTTGGTAATTTCTGCAACACTTGCTTTTCTGATTTTTAACAAATTAAATTCAGTATATGAATTATGAACAACCAGCTGAGCTTTGACAATACCAGGCTGTACTGCTTCGAATACAAAATGTTAATATTTTTGTAAATCACTCAATTTTTTAAAGAAAATTCCTAATATGAAATTAAGATCTAAATATTGAAAGCTTTTGCCGTTTTCATAGCACTGAGCTTTGTTTAAACCCGCTGTACTCAATTTTTTCACAACCTTAACAATATGATTTACACAATTTACGATCATTTTTCTATAAAGTTTCTTAATCAATCCAAAACTACCATCACATTTAAATTTAGTATGCCCAGGTACCATGAAATTTAATTCAATACTTTCATAATAACCACAAATTACTAAATATAAGTAAATCAAATAGTGGCATTATTTTTATTCTGTCCTCCCGCATTGTCACAAGTAATCTTTAAATGTTTTTCATCTTTGTTCAATTTCTTAATTCCATCAAATATCAGGTTCAGTATGCCATTAGGGCCTTTACCGATAATTTCATTTTCATAAAGAATGTAATTAATTTGTTCGCGTACTGCTTCATCTTAAATACCAAATAAATGTACTTTACGCAAACTGATAATAAATCTTATTTACCTGTTGATCAGAATGGAATACGTGAATATTTTGCGCTCAATCGTAACTGTAATGAACCATCACATCAACACTATAATAATCAGCTTTGCCTCTCATCGTAAAATGCTCATTTACTAATTTTCTATGTTCTTCTGCTAATTTCGTATTTTTATTGTAATAGTTTCTCTCTAATTTAGCTTTAACTAGGTGTTCTTTGTACCTTTTTAATAAGTCTTTTGCTTCTTTCTCCTTGCGAGCATTGTATTGTAAGCCATTCTGAAAATGTTAGCACGTGTCACATAAATCTGTTCTTGGACTCATAATTTGAATATAAGACGTTAATTGGTACCATAACTTGTGAAACGCATCATATTTTAAAAATTTCAATGTGTTATCATTTTCAACACTTGCAATAAAATTACGATAGACCGATTTATAACTCGTTTCAGCTAATAAGAGTGTAAGTGATTGTGTAATACGATTGACATTTCTACCAGGACTTGGTAATCCATAGATTTCAGCATAATTTTCAAGAAAATTCTTCACAGTGATAACAATGGTTATATCAATGGTTATTTTGGTTTTCCATCGCGGTACCTTTTTACATTGCCATGAACGCTCGGTATTATACCATTCATTGCTAGGTGATTTCTGACATTTTCGAAGTGTATGCGACCAATTCCTAACATATTGAGATACGTTTTCTAACAAAGCGGCATATTGCAATCTCAATAATAAAAAGTTCGCTTATTAGTACGCATTTTCTTTTTAAGACGTCAGCTGGCAGTTATTTCTCCACCATTCATTGCTTTAATTTGTGCCATAAGAAATGCATCTTGTTCTGGTTTAGAGAGAACTTAAAGGGCTTCTCTCAGTTCAGCAAAACTTTCCTTTAGAAGTTTGGCTAAGCATCCACAATGACAGCCTTTTTGCAAGAAATTAATTGCTTGCTGATACTCAGTAAAACCATCATTTTGACTATTTTTCATATATCTGTATCCCTATATATAAATTTTAAGCTTCATGTAAATGCCTGTTTATAATAACCTTTTTCATTTCTTCATGTATTAAATGAGTGGTTATTATTATAGATAGGCATTTACTGTTATTACTATTGTTATAGCAGCAAAATCATTTTCAGAAACAGTGAATCAATCAACAGAACTCTATCAATATATTTGTCATGCATCAAATTGGGAATTCAAAATGCACTATATTCATGAAACGTTTTAGCACTCTTATAACAATAAACTTAACTTTTGAATTTAGAATATTTTCTGCTGTTCACTTTTGCTGACAATGAAAAAAGAAGGTAGTAACACTGGGTGAGCAATACAGATATGAAAACAAACACTTTCATGTACAAAAAGAGCATAATGAATTGATTAACAAAGTAATATATGCGGTATGTAACATTCTTCCAACAATGCCAGTATGCCAGTAACCACTGAGCATCACTGGAAAGCAGCAATAGTTCACATATGAAATTGTTCAAATAGGTGGGACATAGTGCTTCTTGAAACAATGACAAATTCAGCTTTGACATTCGACCATCAATTAGTTCCAGAAAGTGACTTAATATAGCAACGATAGCAAGTACCAAAGCAATTCGATTAGAGAAGCTTGGCCATTTTCATATCCCTTTTGGTTCCTGGCCGAGCTTTGTTATGCGTTAATGTAGTGAGCTTCCGGATGTTATGGGAGTTGCTTAAACGGGAGCTCCTTTTGCTTCTAGATGCTTGGAACTGTTTGTCAGTTTCCTCGACCAACAACTGCAAAATAGAAGTAAATTAGTAAAGACACTCTCCACCAAACAGCAATGCAGAACTTACCACCCATGTCACGATTGCCTGATAAAAAGATGGAAACAAGTTGGTTTCAGACCAATCCGTGGGCACTTCGCATGTTTCAATTTCGAAAATTCGATATTGTGCTTATAAAAGGAAGTTAATGCATGATTCCTTAATATCACATATCAGTATGCATACCTACCAAGATAGTCCATAAAGTAAAAATGCAATTGAAGTTCACAACTCTGCGCCATGAATGCTCGAAAGGAGGATGGCAAGGCTCGTTTAAGCATAACTTCTTGTGTCACGACAAAATTGATAATGTCTTTCCCTGCCCTGGCATTTTGAATAAAATCCGAGGTCTCTTTGTTTTGATCGGTGACATATGGTCTACTGCCTTCGACCACGGCGATCTCGTACGAATTTTGACGGTTTGATGTGTATGCGATGCCGTCCGCACGGTCCGCGTTTCCCTTCTGGTTCATAAGAGATTTTCGATATGCAGAGGCTTTAATAGCCTTGCTACCTCTACAAGAGATGATGGCAGTTAAAAATATTGGTATTTATAATAATGAGATGAGGGCAAGGAAATCTATTCTTACGGCACATATGGGATGTGAGTGAATCGAGCGTATGCTTTCTTGAGAACAGGATGAACGAATGTATTCATATATTCTTCTTCGGTCATGTCTCGATTTTTTGAGCGGATTCTCCGACGTCATTTTATATGCATCGAAACTAGAATAAATAATGTTAATATCCCTAAAGAGAAAGATACATTCTCCAAACACTTACAATATTGGTAGCGTTTCCAGCATCAATCTCTTCAACCTTTTTAAAAAACCGTTTTGCCCACAATTGGCTTCCATCAAACTTTCGAGTTTCGATTCCCATTGGTCTTCATTCAATTTCTGTTAACGAGATGAAGTAAATGATGAGTTTTATGCACATAAATGGGCATGTTGGACTACACACCTCCAAAAAGAAATTAATTAGAAACTCGTGGGCATCCTCTGGAAAAAGCTTGTCAACAGGGTTAAAGATATCCTGAATCATCTTATCATAATTTGTTTCTTCGGTATATAAAAGGACAAACTCAGACGACGGTCTAAGGTCCATTATTCCGTTTTCTAAAAGGATGTTGTTTGCTTCACATCGATACGTTTGAAAGTTTGCTAAAATTTCCTGCATCTCATGTGAGCATTCCTCTGATTCATCTAACAGATTTCTAACTGCATCGTTTTGCTTGCTATGTGCTTCAACATTTTCTTCTTTACTATCGTCGCATTTACTGATTATGCTTGGATCGGTTTATAAAAGAGATTGTGAAATTAATATTCACATTTAGGACAGCAAAAGACAGCAAGAGACAATTACAAACCTCCTCATTCAAGCGAACGCGCTTCACTTTATCGTCTTCATGGCCTGGAAAGGACCTTTTAACATCTTTGGTTGCCGTTTGTGCTATGCTAGTCATTTGCTCGGTAACTTCATTGGCCACTGTCAATTTATATCTCGACTGTTCCGAAACAATATAAAATAAGAAGATTTGTCTATGCATTTAGTAAAAAAGAAACAAATAATATTCACCCTGGTCATTCGGATTTGTGTCTCTGTAACTACATCCGAACCCCAAAATTGGTATATCCGTCCATTCTTCTTGAGATCAACCTAAAATGCAATATCTAATAAATAACTCACAATGCAAGAAAAAAAATCAAATTGAACAAAACAACAAAATATGTGATAGATGGATAGTAAAATGAGCAAGAGCTAGGGCGGACAAGTCCCCTTAGCTATTCCCATCACTACTGACTTACAAGCGAGCCCCAAGGCAGACAAGTCTCTCTGGTTATCCTTGTCACAGTCTCCATCATATCACTTAAAGAGATGAAACACTTACTTCATGCTTGGCTAATACCACTAAGGCTCTCTGTCGTTCTTGATGATTTCCATGCATACTCAGCCACTCGAGCTGTTTTTTGGCTGCCAATATCACTTGTCCCTTAGAGGGCGCATGGCCACTTGTGACCCAATGTTTGTGGTAATAACGGATCCCAACTTTCAGGTGGAGTTTCCTTCCAGTACGAGAACCCTAACGTATTTTCCACAGTGGTCATCAAAGTCGAAGATAAAGCTTTTTGGGAAACAAAATCGAAAGTTTAGCATTAAAAACTGAAGTTAAAAGTGAGAGAAACGGGACAGAGAAAGCATTACAGATAATCACCAAGAGATATGTTGATGGTAGAGCAAGAACCAGGATTGTTATTAAATGAAATGGAACGGGCGAAGACTGAGAAAAAAAAAGTTTGAATGATTGGTTGCCGAAATTCCGCGAGCCAAGTACACGTTCATAATGCGTGCAAACGAAAACTAAAGTAAACTTTCCTATAGCGACGATGTTCTTGAGCTCACGCTCGCGATGTATCAATCCTGTGATACATATGTCACATGTACATTACCGTAACGTCACATGGAATTGATCTACTGCGGATGTGACCGACGTAGAGTTTAGAACCGATATTCGGCATTCGAATATAAATCCGGTTTCTTCCGATTCGAATTTACATTTTATCCGGATATAATAAATCCGGTTCCTTCGTTTCATCCGGATATAATAAATCCGGTTCCTTCGTTTTATCCGGATATAATAAATCCGGTTCCTTCGTTTCATTCGTATATAATAAATCCAGTTCCTTTGTTTCGTTCGAATATAAATTTAATTTATTTATTTATTATAATTAACTGACAATATTTTTTAATGTACTGCACTATATTTATACGTTTTTAAATAAAGTACTGAAAAATTAAATTCGTAATTATAGGAATCTACAAGAAATTCAATTTGGAAAATACTTCGTCACTAAGGATTATAAAA